TAAAATTATAATAATGAAATTATGAACTGGCACACTGGTTAAATTATGGCAAACCCATAACCATATTTCAACTCATTAAATTATATTGTAAATTAGTATTTAGTGACAGAAAATGAGGAAGGTAAAATGTACACTATGATCTAACTACAATAAATATCAAAAGGATATATCTTAAAAATGTTAACTGGTTTTCTGTGGAAGAGAGAAGGGGCATCAAGGATGTTTTTTTATTTTCTAATGTGTTTCTAAATTTTCTAACATTAATTTTATTTAAAAAGTTATTCATGATTCAGAGAGAGATGTTTATGATAAATAAGTTCCACTTGAACCTCCTCTAAAAAAAATCACTGTTAAATTAATTATACAAATGCCTATAGATACATTAAACATTCTTATTTAGGATATGTAAATAGTTATATATTTTTTTATTTTCTGTTTCAGAGACAAAGCACACACTGTTGGCAAGACCATATGTGAACGTCTAAAGGATACTCTTCCCAGGCAGTTGTTTGAGATAGCAATTCAAGCTGCTATTGGAAGTAAAATTGTTGCAAGAGAAACGTGAGTTGAAATTCATTTCTGTTTCCAGGCTGGTTTTAGAATTGATATACCTAGAAAACTGAAGAATATTGGAAATTTTAACTTACTATTGGCCTAAGTTTTATTCCTACTTGTAGAAACAGTATGATAGCTGACTCAGTTCCAGTGGTTTAAGTGGTGACTTTTTCTTTGAATTACTTACATAACTCTATCAGGAATGTTTTTTACGGATATGAGTTTGAAAAAATTTCCATTTATTTCCATTGAATGACTATATTGTATTTCCTTGGAGAGGAATTTCCTTAAGGTTTTATCTAGATAGACTCAACCAATTCAGGTAGTTTATAAGTAATAGAAAACTGAAACTAAAAGATAAAATAAGTATCTTTTACCTGAAGCATGTAATACCACTTCCCCAGAAGTAGGGAGGTTCTAAATCAGAAAGGAATGTGAATATCATATTAGGCTTTGGACTGTAGGTTCGGAACCTCATATGTGGGTTATAATAGATGAGAAATGCCTTCATTTCTGTAGCAAACTAGTCTTTTCCACAAGATAGTAATAAGTCAGAACTGAATCAGCTGATAGGAAATATTCCTAACTGCAGGAAGTCTTAGAGTACACTTCCTTTTTTTAATGATCCTAATTACTTCTGGGGAATCAGAAATACCTCTGTAGTTACGAAAAGTTGTAAATTGCTATTTAATTCTACCTTAACCAAAGCCAACATCTTTATATAGATTTGAGATAAATTTTATGTCTATTCTTGGAATGAATTTCATTTTGTAAAACTGTTTTGCTTCAGTTATTTTTGTTTCATGAAAACAGACTAGGCAGAATATAGTTGATAACCACAGAACATCAGGAAAATAGTAAATGATCATTCAATGATTGTGTTAAGGTTCTGCCAACACATATGGTTTTGCCAACAGTGTATGCTTTGTCTCTGAAACAGAAAAATATGTAATTATTTACCTATCCTAAATATTTGAATGTTTAATGTGATCTGTAGTAATTTGCATAATCAGTTTTTTTTTTTAATTCTTGAAAAATAGAGGTCTGTATCTTAATGAATGTCTGTAAAAGGGAGTTTTGGGGTTTTTTTTGTAGTTATATAGAGATTTTAATACCTTTTTTCAATCATTGTGGGTATTCTGATACTATATGAAAACTAAATAAAAAAAATTCTTTGCAGGAAGACTATTTTTAAAAATTAGAGTGACCTGGAAATTTCTCACACACTACAGTAATAGATTATTAATCTATGATATAGATATATTCAAATTAGGATATGTTTTATAAAAGCTCTGTACCACTGAGCCACAACCCCAGCATAAAAGCCTAAATCTTGTAATGTCTTCCTAGTTTATCTTCCTAACTATTCCACCCACATTCAATACTAATTATAATCCACTTTGTTTTAAGTAGTAGCAGTATTACTAGGTTGAGCCATAAATAATATAACTCTTACATTAAGGTCACATTAGGATGAAGTTTGAGTAATCAAGCCTAACTACCACAGCTTGGCCTTTTTTTCTTAATAAAATACTGGTTGATAATCATGTTGAATTTATTTGCTGTTTTATGCTAACTGTATGAAAATACAAGGCACTTGAGCTACTATTTATTTGCTTACAGTAGTTTTATATACATAATAGCATTATCATTAAAATATTTTATTAAGGAGAAATTGTTTAAAAGTACTTTTTAAAAGTATAGTGGAAATGTGTACTTAAACATAATTTCCTCTTTTACAGTGTGAAACCCTATAGGAAAAATGTTTTGGCAAAATGTGTACGTATCTAGTGTATATTCTATTTTGTAGTATTTCTATTTCATGGGTTTTAAGTCAAAAGGGGTAAAAATATATTGGTTTTCATGTTGGTTTTTATAAATGTCCTTTATTTTAATCTTCAGGTTTCCTTTTTAAAGAGGTAAATTTTAGATTGATCATAGTAATTAGTTTGATTACATTCATAAACATTTTTTCATCTTATTCATAAGACTTTCCATATATATGTATACACACACACACACACACACACACACACACACACACACTAAGGGTACATTTGATAACATTTTTATGGTCTAATATATGATGAAAGATTCTGAAGACCACGGCTTTTACAGTGGTAAGATTGAGAATTGAGATCCACCTCTCTTGTTTTGCCAAAGTTTTCTGTATCTCAGTTATTAACTCAATTATTATGAGAACTAAATGATTCTTTCTAAATGCTCAGTATAGTTTCTGGCACATTTTTGTCTATGTGAGTAAGACTTTCTATATGGGACTATATATCATTTAAAATTACAAGCCTTGAGTTGAATTGGTAATGAGACTGATAACTCTAACATGCTATAAATAACTGTAGTACTGTTTCTGTGGGGAATCTTCATATCCATCCAAAATAACTAAACCTTTTATCATTGTTTGAAAAGATAGTTTAATGAGTGTCTGCCAGCAAGATTAGAGAGGTAACTTTGCGTATGTCTACCTCATGGACAGTAATTTCATAAGAATGTTATGATTCTATTGTGATCTCTGTGTAACTATAGGATTATTATTTTATGAAGTTTTTTGGACTTACAATTTTTCAAAATATTTTTCAGTATGGTGGTGATATTACCCGAAAGATGAAACTTTTGAAGAGACAAGCAGAAGGAAAAAAACGGATGAGGAAAATTGGCAACATTGAGGTTCCTAAAGATGCTTTTATAAAAGTTCTAAAAACACAAACTAATAAATAACTCATGGAAAACATAAGGAACTTCTATAAATTATAAACTGTGTAAAGAACTTCAACAAATTAAAACCTGTGTATTTTTTTCTTTATAGTAACTTACAACAATAAAATGAAAATAAATAAGTTTCCTTATTAGTTTCAGGGTTTTCAAGTTTGTTTAGTAAAAGTTAGGTCATAGTAAAGGTTAGGTCATTTAGTAAAGGTGAGGTCATAAGTGGAGCATACCTCCACAGGCTGTACAGGTTAAATGAGATAATATATTTTAAATACTCAGAAGAGTGCACAATGTAGTAAAGCATAGTGAATTTTAACTGTTATGTTTTCATGCATGTTTTTCTCTCTCACTGCAAGGTCCCATATTTAATATTCCATGTAGCTTAAGTGAAAGAATTTCCAAAATCCACCTTAAGTGTCAAAACGTTAGATGGATCAGTTTATCTGATATGTATGAATTACTACATATGAATCCCTTATTAAACAAAGTAAAGTCAAATAACATAGTGTCTAGGTATCTGCTTTATCTTTTGATGTTCATACAGTTTATAAACCATCTCATTACAAACCAACATGTCATAATGTACATCTAAATTAAAATTAAAGCAGAGGCAGTCTCTTATTTCTGACATTCAGAATTCATGCAGTATGATAAGTGTTTGGTATTAGCAGCTGTTACGAATTACAGCTTAACAATTATTTAATTTTCATACCTGAGATCACAGAGCCAATAAACAGCTATATTAATTCAAAGCTCTTTAGTTCCACATTCATTCATTAATAATCAATGACAGCATGCAGAATGTATCATAGCAAATGATTTAGCCATTGGTTTTTGTCTTCTACTTGAATGAGGAAAATGTCTTTTCAGAATAAGACTATCAGTGATGAATTTTATATTGTTACATTATGAGATAATTATAAATTAAGATAGTGGGACTTAAATTAAAATGGCAGAATATATGAAATGAAGAAACAATTAATATGGTTTCAGAACAAAATGTTCTATTCTTTCATTGTTGCAAAGGAGTCACAAGTTGCACCTGGCACATAATATGCACTATGTATCTACCATTTAATATTTGTGCTTGTTTTATATGGTCAAATTTTATTCTGTAGTCAGTCACTCTTCAAAAAAATTTTGGAAAGTGACCTAACATAAGTAAGATTTCTACAATGAGTATTAAAATGGCACCACTTATTAAGTTTGTTGTGTGTCAGCCACTGTACTGAGTTCTCTTTTATTCAGTTTGTAAAGGAGAGGAAGAAGTTGACACTTATTGCTCACAGTCAGTTTTTGACATAGCTGGGATTCAGACAATGGTTTCTTCAAAGACTACTTAACTTTTTCTTGTGAAATGTATTCAAAAGGCTTTAAATTCTTTACTTAAGAGAATCACACCTTCTGAGTTAGGGAATTACTGTGGCCAGAGAGCAATTTGCTGAACAGTTAGAGGACACATGCCTAAATTAGCCTCCTAACTGTGGCTGTAATGAAAAAATAATTCTTTTAGACCTTTAAAGCACAGAAATACCTGTGAATGGTACACAAAAATAGACAATGTTGGCCTTTTCATTATGGCATCATATGACCTAAAGTAGTTAGGGTAGTTCAAAGTAACTATTAGAACTATTAGTATAAGACACTACTGATTTACTGGATAGTTAAATATATATAAAGCTATTAAAAACATGATCTATAATTAAAATAAGGCAGCATTATTTTACACTAACAGTTTTATTTTTATTTCATTTTTAGTTTATTTGCTAAATATTTTAAGGAGTGTAAGTACATTTCAATCGCAGAGACAAGCAGACATAAATAAGGCTTCTATAACATGGGCTTATAAAATGTGAAACATCAACAGGACAGGGAGCGTTTTGTCTTTAACTTCCAATGGAATACTGAGAAACTACAGGTAAAGGTATTGTCTATCTGTAATTGTATGATGGTAACAAACCAAAAGGAAATGTAGGCTCACAGATACTGTTAGTTGCTGGAATCTCCCAAATGCAAGTATTTATTTCACTTCTGGAAATAAAATTTAGATAAATTATTTATTATAAGTTTTATTTGAAGTAAAAATAGAAAATATATTTAATTTGCACTTATGCAAAGTTATGTCACTCTAAAATAGTTTACAGCAATTCCTTTTATATATATTTCACATTATAATTTTAGACATTTTTAATAAGGAATAAAGCTAATCATTTGTGAAGTTTAACAATAATCAGAAAATATTCTTCAAAAGAATTTCCTTAAGTGTGTACCTAGGTATAAAGCTCATAATTTTCAAGATACTATTATTAAGGGCATGAACCCAAGTCATTAAATAAAAATAAGCATATCTGTAAAAAAAGTGCTGTATAAGAAGGTAAGCAAAAGCATGCATTTAACCACTTTCCAAAAGGTTGTAAACTAAACATTTAGGCACTGTCATCTCTTCAAGTGTTCTTTGCCAACAATATATAGCAGGACTTTTATTAATGTCCACAGGCGCTACCGCAGGAAAATGACTAAGGCAACCACATGCAGAAAAGCATGTGTGTAATGCACAGAAAAAGAGCATTCCAAAAGTAAAGGTTTTCCATGACAGTTGTTGATGAAAGACTTGGAGTGTCTTCTTGTAATTAAATAAAAATCCATTTCACTAATCATGTCCCAAATGGTACCTGATGTTCAGAATCTTTTTTAAAAAACTTAATCATTCTAAAATTAAACAGGCAGATATTTCATTTCTATGCTGTTTTATAGGTGGGTATGTAGCTACTGTACTGTATAATAAAATAGCCAACCAATTTTAAAAGACTACATTTCCTAAATCCTAGTGTAAAAGAGGCATTTTAAATATGGAATGTATAACAGATTTTAAAAATTACAATCTTCAAAATTTCCAATTTTATATTGCATAGCTGATAATTCATCTAATAAAAAAGTTTTCTTTCAAGCAGAATTTTGCTTCAATCTCCTTCAATTTCCTTCTTTCATACTGTGTAGTGGGTCCACAAGTTTATTGTGCACATGCATTAAACCTTAAAGAAAAAAAGCACAATTCTAGTTTTGTTTTAATTTTGAACTCTCATTTACTTTAGCAAGCGTTTTAGTTAATTTTGAACTCTCATTTACTTTAGCAAGCAAAAGATTTATAAGATATAAGTATTTTTGTTCCCATCTGATACAAAAATCAAGTTTATTGAAAAACTAAAAAATGTTTCAAAATGTTAAACTACCTAGCAAATATCAATTTATAATTATCGATGAAACAATGTAGATCTAGAATGTATACAGGTACTTTGAAAGTAGCCAGAAGTAGGAGCAGTTCTTCAGAGCATTTCTATGTCAGGATACCAAATTTGAATACAATTTGTTTATTAATACATTCTAATTACATTTAAAAGCTTTTATTGACTTTGATCTTCTGGTAGTTCTTTTACTAGACTCCAGAGAGGAGCTGAGAACTATTACAGTAGGATAGCTTTAGTCCTTCAACGTATTACCATATGCATTCAACTGGCAAATTGTTTTCTACTCCATAAATATTTGTTTATGAAAAGGGTTGATTACATATTAACCATTACATATTGAGAAAGGTTTCCTAAACCAGTTCAGAAGATGCCTATATTAAACTCTAAGTTACTGTAGAAATTTAGATTCTAAATTTAAGCAGAGTTTAAATTTCATTTTGTAATATGCTTGCGAATGGTTCTTACATATTAAAGCTTCTTGAGAAGTAGCATCTTTTAGTTATTAATGTCTAAAGGCATAAGTACTATATTTCTTTGAAAAGAAATAGTTCTAAGAAGATTTGTCTTTTGACAGAATCAGTTAACTGATTATTTTATACTTTGGAAATCAGAGAAATCATTTAAATTTTCCAGGTCACTGTAAACACAGAGGCTGGGGAAAAGCACTTGGAACTTGGTTTCCAAAGAAAATGGGATTTTTAGTTTGGGGAGATAGGGTAAGTAAGGAAATGTTCTTGTCAGGGAGGCTGAACAAAGCACCCTAAAATACAAAGTGTGAGGGAGACCCACTTCTAGGGTATAAGCAAAGAACCCTGAGAGGAGTTCCTGTAGGGGGGAAAAAAAAAAAAAAAACAAAAACCTAGGAGAAGTCTTCAAAGGAGATTCTGAAAGGAGGAAATATCCCATTTTCTACTGCTACTGAAAGTAAAAGAAAGTTAACTTCTCAATAGCCTACTTAAAGGCTTAATCAGCACTTCAAAGGTCCAATTTCAGTAAGACAGGGAAGAATAATTTCAGTTATGTAATTTAGAAGATGAATCATTTCGTAGAGGATCATCCTGTACAGAATAATTTTCTATATTTGCTAACAACTTTGATGATGGGTAGAATACATTTAAGTTGTGGCATTAAAACATCAAGATAAACATTAAAAACCCAACTACTTTATAAAGTTTTTTTTTTTTTAACTACACACTGAAAATAGCTTTTATACATAAGGCTGTTTTCAAACTAGAAATTAATTTGAAAATTCTATTAATTGCTTTCTAGCTAATCTTTAATAATTTACTATGAAATAAGGTAAAAACTGACAAATTTCTACATTAAGAAATTCCATAAAAAGAAATAATAACTGGCACTTAAGTCATAAACAGAAATAAGTAAATTCTTGATACAAAATTATTAATAATTTGTATTTAAATGACATTTTGTATGTCATAATGTTATATGTCATAGTATCTAAATATCAATTTATTTACAAAGTAACTTTTATCTCTGTCAGGCTATAGGGGTGGCCCCTAAAAGGGACACAACAGAAAAAAAAATTCATCACCATAAATAATGTTATAAAATACACTAACTCAAAGATAAATAAGTTCTAATTAAAAAGCAATACCAAAAAGCTTTATATGAATAAAATGCCCAAGTATTAAACTTTTCTTGTGATTAACCTGTATCTTTCAAAAGGTACATATGAAATAAGCTTCCATTTAGTAATAATTGTTACTGTTTGGAATTTAGTTAACCTAGATCTTTTTCAGGAACTAAATAATTAGAACCTTTACTAAATAATTAGAACTCTGTTAACATTTTTTAGTGAAGACAGAAGAAAAGGTAGTATTGTAAATGGAATTTGAAGAACTATAGGCAACAACACCCAGAATAGTATCCTCCAGTTTTCTGATGGGATATAATAGTAACTCAGTGAGAATATGCCAAATACATAAAACTACATTTGAAATATGTGCACACTCTTGAGTATTTAATTAACTCTACTCTAAATCAAAATACTTAACTGCAAAGTAAGGCTTATATATGGCCCAGAATAAGATCTAAATTCTACTTTTTTGACATACACTGATATTCTGAAACCTCTTTAGAAATATATACAGCTCCAAAGTAGAAAATACAAGGTACTCTTCAGGTAATGCAAATATTCTCTCATGAACAGTTTACACTTTAACATGTTTCAGAAGAACTTGGAATTTATATAACACTAAAAGAACTAAACATACATAAATACCTCCTTCTCCTCTAGTTTAAATTATCTAACTTATGCTTATATTTTTCCTGGAAGTAATGATTATAGTGTGGGGAAAAGCACACAATTATATCTTTGATTTAGATGATATTATATTCACAGTTTATTCCTCTTCTGGGAGGTAGTATAACAGAGTGGACAAAAGCCCAATTCTAGGTATCTGATTTCAGTTACCCAGCTCTGCCCACTATAAGCTATATGACTTCAGGTAAGTAACTTAACATCTCTATCTGTTAAGCATACTAAATCCTTTGAAAATGGCAGTATATGAAAGTTCACTTTATAGCACTGCCATAAGAATTAAGTAAATCAATGAATATGATACATTTAGAATAATGCCTGGTCATACAAGTACTGGCTATTATTAAATTAAATATTCACTAAAATGTAAAAATAGTCTGATAAATATCAAGTTGTGATAAAATCAGACAGACTGGTACCAACAGGGTCTATTTGGAGATTACTGGTACTAGAAAATGGACACTGAAACTGGCATATGTGGAAATGTGGATTGCTTGTATTAACTTCAAGAAATCTAATATGTGCGATGAAATCTGGAGGACGGTTTGGAGATATAGGGATAAAATTCCATTCAAGAACTCTGTCTACTCACAGTTTATCACTGAGATGCTCTCTGCTTCTATCTGCCAAATTACAAAGAAGCCAACATTTTGTTGTTGTTGTTGTTTAATTGGATATATTTGTGGCTTGGTAAAAACAAGTAATTTAAATGACAAGAGATAGAAAAGATGAAGTACTAAATAATAAGGAAATATTTAACTAAATCATGATTTATCCACTTAACTATCCATTAAAAAATGTTTTTAAAGAGTTATTTTGTAAAACAGGAAAATGCTCACAAAACATAAGTGCAAATGCAAAACAAAACTATATACACAGCATTTTCTAAATTTGTTTTAAACATGAGATTTTCAGTGTTTTGTAAATTTCAATCATTTGTATCCAACCTCAATATTTTGCCATATTCAGACATTTTATATGAATTGCAAGTTACTGATCTCCTTTAAATCAATTATAATTTTAAATATTATTAATACTATATTTCTGAATATGAGATTCTGTATACTATAAGACATAATTATTTTATATACCACTAAAACAAAATGTTATCAGGTATACTATGATAAGACACCAATTTTAAGAAACATTCTAATTTCAGAAAGATAAATGTGTCTTAGAAGCAATAAAATATGATAACTTTCTTACACCTGTATTAAACAACAATATTCATGAAATATAGCTGTGATGTGTTCTATACATTTTTAATACCTGTTGAACACAGTAACTACAGTAAAAGATTAAAAATATTTATTGATGTAACAGTAGTACTATACACTCTGTGCTAACATTTAAAACCAATTAATTTTCAATATTGGCTACATAAATATAGATACTTTATAAAGAAATACCATTTATATAGCTTATTTATGTTTGGGTTTATATGTGGAGTTCACTCTTAGTCAGGGAATGGAGTCTCCATTTAAAATAGTCAAACTGTCACTTGAAAAATCTCCTAAACCATCCATTATGTCAAGTATATGCAGTTTTTTTTATACACAGTAAGACTTACTGAACTAGACTACCGAAAAAAGCAAAAGGAAAATCATCACACAGGATTGTGGGAAATCAAACTCTATCTGCAGAGTTTATTCCATACTCTTTCAAATTTAGTGCCATTATAACTTTAATCTACAGGAATATATTGGTTTGAAATTATTAAGATTAAATGAGATAGTGGGAGACCCATCTTAACCATGAATTAGGTTCTAGGTAGAGGGTTAAGATGGAACTTGTAAATATAAAAACAAACCCAGAAAAGACAAAGATAGACTTCCTATAGGGTTATTTAATATGGTAAATTCAGTATAAAAGTAAAATATTTTCCGAAATTCGGGATTTCAAGAGTTGGGTTTACTGAAAATACAAGTAAAGACATTTTCTTCTCTCTCTCTCTCTCTCTCTCTCTCTCTCTCTCTCTCACACACACACACACACACACACACACACACACACAAACACACACACACGGAACCTACTCTGAAAGCCACTATTATCTGAGGTGAGAATTTTTGTCAATTGAAAAAACTGGCCATTGTATCAGCACAATTCCAGTTTTCAACAGGCCACAGTGTAGAATTAAACCCAGTCACATTAAATTCTGTCATCTATAACAGAACATCTCAAACATTGCTTTGTATATTCAATGCTCACCTTTAAAGTATTTCACAGTTTTAACTCTTAATTCTAAAGTAGCATCTTCATCACATACAAAAATAGTTCGAGGATGCTGCTGGAAAGCTGAAACAGTCCACATGTGATTGACTCCTTCTTCTATTGCTTTGTACAGGGCAAATGCCTTGTGTGCACCTGTTATGAGGATCATCACCTAAAAAGTGATGAATATAACTTGTTAATTAATAGTTTAATTTTGTTCCTGATGAGTAGGCAACTCTGACATGTAAGTGCATATTATTATCATGGTGGATACTGATGTGTAAAAGATACCTGGGAGGATCAAGAAAAAGGGTATGTCTTGCAAAAGAAGAATTATGGGTCTTCAAAAAATTTACATAATTTGGAATGATACACCAAATTGTTCTACTCCAGATACTATTACAGAAAAGCAGAAAGACTCTAAAACAACAGATATTTAAAGTGTTTAAGATGATTTCATTTACCATATATGATTATCCAAAGTTGTTTCAAACAAAAACTGAACTTAAGAGAATTAGGGATCCACTTAAACACAGGAGTTGCCTTTTAGGCACATATGCCTGAAACTTAAAATTTAGAAAAAAACCAAGTTCATGCCCCTAAATTCCTAACTGCCTATGAAATAATTCAAAGAACATATGTAACTGTAAGTGTATATGTATGTCAAAATGAATCGTCCCTTTATCATTTTTTAGGAGCAAGTCAATCTGATTTTACAACTTAGAATATACACATGAATAAATTAATGTTATGAATCCTTACATAATTTGCCTTATAATTAAAAACATTAGATATTTGCAGTTCTAAAATATGTATAACATCATAGACATTTTATACACGTATATGTGCATATTTTATAACTAGGAGGAAATGAAACACTAATAGATCAGGATATTACAACATTTCTTTTTTATCACAATTTACTATTCAGTTTTCACTGTGAAGATATATCTTGATTAAACCCAAGTCCATGAATATATTAAGATATGTATGGATTTCCACTAATTTTTTTAATTGATAAATCTTGTTCTTGGGTATACAAGCTCAACAAAGAATTTAATGTAGCTATAAAGCATTCATCTCTTAAAACATTCATCTTTTAAAACAGTAATTAACTATGTTCGATATAATAAGATAAATAAAACATTAATTAATGAATCTGTAAATTAGTTTTTCTTGCTGGGCATTAATAGCCAATGTGTTCTTTAAAGACTGATGCATGTATTACGGAAGGAACTCTGTAATAATACAGGTTACTGAGAAGAAACACTGGTGATTCTTATGCATGAACTGACATTTGAGAATCAATCATCAGGCAGATATTGCAATGATATAGCCTCATGCTACTTAAATAATAAATGTATTGCAATAACACTATTTTAAAAGGTTATGAGATGAGCACATTTGGGTGATAGTTCACATTTAAGCAATCATTCCATCAACAAGTAGATATTTATAGCTTCCAAAAACTGTATTTTTAACCCACTGTATCCATTCCTAGTAGATATTTAAATCAAAAATGCAATTTTTAATATGTGAGGAAATTAAGGATTAAAGATTTACCTAGGAAGAAACAGGAAGCAGAAAATACATGATTTTCAGATTTTCATTTCTAAATTCTTACGCACCATACAGTCCGAAGATGGCAAGGATGCCAGAAGATGAGATACAGAAAGAAACTATTGTACTCAATGTATAAAATATATACAATATGTACAATACATAAAATGTAATAAAGCATAATGGTGACATGAAGTAACACTCTCTGGGGGAGTTGAGGAAAGTTTTAGAGTAGCTCCTCTAGAAAATCAAGTTTAAGAATAAATAGAAAATCTCTATATACAGGATCCTTTCAGACAGTTAGGGAGTAGTCAATAAAAAGCTAAAAGTTTGGTAAGGATGGAGCACAAGGAAATGAAAGGAAATAGCTGGACACTGGACACTGATATGCTAAACAAAGAGGCTAGATTTGATCCTGTGATGGAATAATAGAGACTCACAATTACACAGATGAATAATAAACTGAACAATGTTTTTGATAAACTTATCCAGGAAGTAATATAGTGACTAGGATAGGTGAAGACTGGACACAAGCATGATTTAGGATGGGACTTGCAGAGAAGATGGTAGTTTCAGCAATTAAGAAGTCATTGATAATCTGTGTGACTTTCGGTAAGGAAGTGAAAAGCTGATTTTAAGTTTTATTGGCTTTGCTTTAATTCGTAAGAATAACTATGCAAATAGTTACAATTAATAAAATAATTCTAAAAATGTTACAATAGCTAAAAGTACTTGTGTCTTTTGGGGGGATTATCTTCATAATATATGGCATTAATTTTTAAATATAATTTAGTAAAAACAAATTTTAATCATTTTTTTAAATTTTTTGGTACTTGTAATTGAATCCAGGGGCACTTAACCATTGAGCTATATCCCCAACCCCCTTTTTGTATTTTATTAGAGACAGGATCTCACTGAGTTGCTTAGGGCCTCCTTAAGTTGCTGAGATGGACTTTGAACTCGAGATTCCCCTGCCTCAGCCTCTCAAGCTGCTGAGAATACAAACTTGAGTCACCGCACCTGACCCAAATTTCCTTTCCAGGTAAATTGGCTTTGAAAAATAGCCAAAAGTCAAGAAAAATCATTTCTAGTGGTTCAGGTAGATAAACAAGCTGTAGTGAATAGGACCAATTTTGTCCAAAATGAATTGTGAACCTAAGTATTTCATTCAAACTATTCCCAGCAGTTGCTTAATACCTATTATGTGACAGACAGTATGAGGGAGTACATATACATGCCTCATAAATTCATGCAGAGTATAAATTAGTGAAAAAACATATTAAATCAGTAAATATACTAAAATAATTACAAATTATGACAAGTGCTACCTAAAGGAAAATATCAGAGTGGTATGACAGAATAAAAGAAAATAATTTTGCCTATGAGTATGATGATAAAGAGAAAAACATGAAAATTAAATGGTGCAGTGTTGGCCATGCAAGGAATGGAAAAGAGCATTCTAGACATAGTGTCATTGTGAAGACCCCAAAGCAAGGAAAGAGTTTGATAATTGAGGCTATTAGCCTATGAGGTTCCTAATCTAGTTGAAATTTCCAAAATCTTGATGAAATATGAAATAACGTCCAAGGTGTGTTCAGAAGATCCTCATTATCTGAGCTGCCATGATGTGAATATATATATCAATGAATTCACTACTTGAATTTAGTTCTATATTTAAATCTTTCCACTTAACAGTAGCTAAGTGTATGTGCTATTAAAGAAAATGACACCAAAGAACAGTTTGTTTTGTTAGGAAAAGAGAATCTAAGAATAAATTAAACCATTATAATTAAAGATAGAAAAAAATCAATAAATAAAAAACTTGCTTCAAAAGAATGCTATGAAAAAAATCAAAGAACTAAGATAGGTCCTAAGCAAAATGACATAGCCCTGGAATAGTTTTATAATGATAATTTCCAGTAATACTTAGAAAAAAATGCTGTTAGGTGAATGATATCATAATTTTGTTGGAAAATTTGATTCAAAGTAGGGGGAAAAATCAGTATTTGAATATTCTGTTCATTCTAAAAATTAACATAAGAATTGGGTTAAAACTTATATCTTGTTAAATGTTAGAAAACTCTGTTTCATTTTTCAGAAATAAAATTGTTCTAAAATATTTTTTCTAACTTATTTACTATAAATTTTCATTCATTAAAAGATATTTTTCAAATACTTATGATATTTAGATGAGAAATACCCATATTTCAATGATAATTCTATTTATATGTTCAAGTCTAAATATAATTAAAATAGACTTTTTAATAATACTCTATCCACTTTGAGCTATCCAATCTGGCTACCAGAAAATAACTGATTTCTAGGCTTCCACATAATTTAACCACTAATAATCATAAACTGACTATAATTTTTCCTGTTATTCTCAAGGAAGGTAATGACAAATTAATTTAAAAAACTTAAAAATTTGACAGGGTCTACTTTTCAGAGCATGTGCATTAAATTTAGAATAGATCTAGGATTCGATGGGTTCCTTTTCAGCTAGAAACTAACTGGTCTATCCTCTATGTATACTAAATCATCCTGAGAGCTCCACTTTATGTAGTGGGCTACCACTGCATCTGTCCCAGCAGTCCTTTCACAATACTGTTTATTTCAATTAAAAACAAACCATGTGATTGCTTAAGATTTTAGGACCTCCAACTGTGAAGCAGGAATAATCAAGTGAAGCAGTACCTCAAAAAAAGGTGCTGCTAATTCTTTATAGCTCCAAAAGATAAAGTTAGTTGATTTCTAAATCTAACTATGAGACTGACAAAAAAGCTGAACACTAAAAAAAAAAAAAAAAAAAATCACTAAAAAGAGAATGTGACCAAATATCAATCATTCTGCATGATAATTACTCCAAAATATATAAACATCAAAATAATATATAAAGAACATAGAATTCTTACTTCTCTAGCATCCATCACTGTCCCCACACCAACAGTGAGGGCCATAGTTGGCACTTTTGACAAATCTCCATCAAAATATTTAGCATTTGCCAAAATGGTATCCATTGCTAGAGTCTTTAGTCTTGTCCTTGACACTAAACTGGATCCTGGCTCATTGAAAGCGATATGACCATCTGGACCAATTCCTTTAAAAAGAAATACACACATACCAAAAAAATAATAATTATTTTTCTCTCATTTAAATTGTCTCAAGGTTTAACATGGTTTTATGAGCAAAAATTCATAACACACTTACCTCGTCATAATTTATAGCTGAATTTCTAATACTGTATTAAAATGTGTTTCTGCATTTCATTCAACAAAATATTTCCATTTTTTTCTATAAGCATAACATTGATCTGGTATGATTCTAATAACAGCAGTAAAATTAAGTACTACCTTAATATAACAATTCATAACAGTATTTTCACATACATCATCACAACATATGTGTAACAATCTTATGATATGGCAAGATTAGGCATAACTATTTCCTTCAAGTCCTTCACTTTTTATTAAGACAGAAATCTTTGATGCTTAAGGTACATAAGAGACTCATTTAAGATCACAATTTGGTAAATACAAACTCAAATTCAAGTCTTCTAATTCCTAACACAGTGGTCTTTTTTTAAAACTGGGGATTGAACCCAGGGTGCTTAATTACTGAACCATGTCCCCAGCCCTTTTTATATTTTATTTAGAAACAGGACCTCACTGAGCTGCTTAGGGCCATAGTTGCTGAGGCTGGCTTTGAACTTGCAATCCTCCTGCTTCAGCCTCCCAAGCCACTGGGATTACAGGTGTGCACCACCACGCCTGGCTAACCAAGTGGTCTTTATATCACACTTTAATTTGTTGGTTTTAGTCCAGAAGGGGCAATAAACTAGTAGACTCTGTGTAGTATAGTTTCCTCAATTAATACAATGTATACATTGGACAAGATAATATTTTTATTGCAAATACAATGCAACCAAAATATCACTAATTCTGCACTGTAATCACACCAAAATATATAAGCATCAAAAAAAAAAAAGAAAGAAAGAAAAGAAACTATTAGGAGAGTATTTTTTTTTCAAACATTTTTCACTATAATCTATGTCAATAACATTTGACACTATAATGTACACATACACACACATCACACACACACACACACACACACATCTATCTAAAATATAATTAAAACAACAAAAAAAATCACACAGAACTATTCTCAGTCTTAGTGGGAGAATTTCCCAGCCCAAATCAAGGTAAAATATGACATAGAATAACCTAGTTTTAAAGAATGATGAAGAAATAAATAAGCTGTTAAGCAAATATAGACCACCAAAGCACAAAAAAATCCAGGAAATTTTAATGTGGGGACATACCTTTTTAACGTGTGAGGACACACACGTGATAAATATGCATATTTTTCAACTATTAAGTAAATATTTGCATCTAAATATGTTTTAATTATAATTGTAAATTTCTAGGTTTCTAATAAAATTATTTCTTAGATATACATATACACAAATATTTATATTTACATCTATATTTACATGTCTAAAGAGGAAAGGATGGAACCAGGAGAATAAAAGCTTCAAAAGAAAAAAAAAAAAAAACGGTTAAGTGTACTAAGATCAACACTGGAGCTCTCACTGGTGATTTGAGCCATACAAAAGTGTGCAGCTAAGCTGAAGCTATGAGCATAGTTAACAGAAAAGCCTTGACACATTTGTTTACTGGACATGGGTAACTCAAAAACTGAGGTCTCTGATTACATATATATGTACATATAAAATATACATATACACACGTATATAATTCGGCTAATTACTCTTTGGTCTTTAGGTCTAAAGTGAGATATCAACATCTATATGAAACATCTCAAAAACTCACTGTGTGGATTATATGTCTTTCCTATATTATTATAGTTCTGTGGGTAGTATGTAAAGTTCAGGAGAACAATAAATTACATATAGGAGGTACTAAATAGATAATGGCTGAATAAATGAATGGATGATTTTTATTTTTTGGCAGACTCAGTAGTTTCTCCCACTTGTTGCTCTACTTCCCTCACCACAAGGGCGTAAACAATTATCATTTCCTATGTCCCTTTTAGATAGAGATTATTGTCTAGATATAAGCACTTGCCCCAAGATAAACAAATCTATAACTGCTTTTCATATTAGAATCTTGACCTGGAATACAAAAAAAAAAAAAAAAAATCAGAAGACATCTAGAATTGAGGCACAGGATGAGAGCACTACAGAGAAAAGATTGATGAGTTCTTACTTTTGAGATCTTAGGTTCTCTGATTCTTATTTTTCCAAAGACTTATTTTTTCCAAAAACTTATTGTTTCAACTCTTCCTTCGGTTTTGAGTTGCCTCAGAATCATTCCAACTAATTCACTTCTGGTCCCATTAGTCTGTCCATATCACTGGCAACCAAAGAATTCACTCATGTAACCAAAAAAACAAATGGTTGGAAGTTTTTCCTACTGTTTTTACTTAAAAAAAGAAAAACTTTGAGATATTTCTTATGTTAATATATTTTATTTAGAAAATGCCATGTTTGTGTATCTTGTTACTTGGGTACATTAAGAAGTCATGTTATACTTTACCCTCTCTTTGAACACTTTTGCCATTAGAGGAAGAATGAGAACTTTTAAGAAGATGTACTTCCTCCTTTCTCTTTTTTACCAAGAAAAGAAAACTCCTGCTCTAATTCCCTGGAGTAAGTAAAAGTAGATTAACATTCTTCAGCTCTTCTAAGTTCTGTTTCCAATTCAGAGGGGAGGAGGAGAAAACCCCATTCTGGCTTCAAGCCAACCTGCAATCTCTAGTCCAACTTTACCTTTAATAAAGCTGATATTTTGATCCCATTTGGCACAGTTCTTAGTGTTTTTATTAACCAAACCCTGGAACAAAAGAAGGGTAAGTGGTAAGACCCTGATATCAAGCCTCATCTTGAAAAGTCCAATGATAACAAACCTAGATCAACAAAGGAAAAGAATCAAATGAGATTCTTTCATGAATACATATCTAATAAATAAATTATCCCAAGTAGAAGAAGAAAATTTAGTAAGCTAACCTTTCTCTTTTCATGCAGAGTAATTATAGACTTTAGATGGTATATGGACAATGTCAGACCTGGGCTTATCAGAGTATAATAAGGATGTTATTGGAGGAGACAAGGGAACGCTCTGAAAAAGTTTTTTTGTTTTTGTTTTTTTCCCTCTTTCTCTTTTTTCTTCTTTTTTGGTGTGGGGGAGATGACTATAGAAAGCTTAAGACAAACTGGTTTTTAAAAATTATTTTTTTTAAGTAGTCAGTGATAACTATAAAAAATTATAATTCATGCTCAATCTACTTTGAAAGGAAAACTGAGGTGCTGTAGTGAGGAAACCTTCCCAAAACATTTATCTAAAAAGACATATGAGAAATGACTTACAGCTATAGGGAATGAAAAGTGTTCTAGCAAAATCTGGGATAAGTGAGCTACGGTTTTTAAAATTACACTAAGCTATGAATGCTTTCTGGAAAGCAGGCAAAGAACAAAATAGGAAGATCTTATCACATTTTTAAACTCTACTTCCTGGCACTACATTCTTATATAAGGTCAATAAATTAACAGGGAAAATAAAACTCCACAATGAAGACATTTTTTTTCCATGTTTAATAAGCAACCTCTAACAACTAACAACCTCTAACAACTATAACTGCTTTCTTTGGCCCAAAGAAATAAGTGAAAACAATTCTCAATAAAAGTAAGATAAACAGGTTAGGTCAGTGATTCTACTTCAGTTTGGTATAGAGTTTAGATAATCTAAAGAGTGGATGGTTAGTATACTCCCTAAACATTCTCAAACATTTATTGTCTCTGGAGCAAATGGTAATTATGTCAAAATTATCCATAGTACAAAACTGGAACATGTAAGCACTCCTTTAAGGACTGCTTAAGTAATATTAGCAAATTTTATTTAAAACATATATAACTTTCTATTTTGAAAAACAAAATAGTTTAACTTGGATTCTTGCTCATATAAATAAACATTCTATCTACACAAGAAAATAAATGATATATTTCCTCAAAGATTTTTTGATCTTATTGAGTAACCTGTCACTAATTTAATTAAAAATTTCTCAGGAGAGAGAACTATGTCAGCAGCTGTAGATTAGAAAAAAGAACAAGACTGAAAAAATAACTACAGAGTATCAATATATATTAAGCACTGTTTTAAACATGTTATGGTGTGATTAATTTTCACAGATTTTGGAACAGTTAATATTAATCTTATTTATAAACACAGTGAAGTTCAATAAACTTACCATGGACATGCAGAGAGCAAGTGGCCAAAATGGGATTAAATTTATATCTCACAGCAAAACCCAATTTTGCAACCAACTACATCAAACATGCTCAATTATTCCAATCATAAACTAACATATTTCTAATTCATGTAATTATGAGTGTTTTTCTAATAAGTAAATTATAAAATATACGTATACAGATAGGTAATATATGTTAATTTAAGGCATTAGTATTTTAGTTGAATACTAAAAACTCTGGTGAAATTAATTTTGGCTTTAGCTTAGTTGATACACTATTCAGATGGCAACTGGCTAGATGTCTCAGATGCTTTGTACTGATAACAGAAAATCATATTATTACAAGGGAAGACATTCCTATTTTTAGTACATTATGCATACACACATACACACACACACATAAATATATATATTTATATGAACACATAAATTATAAGTGAAATTTGGTCAGTTTAATATTCATACACTGGAATTTATTAAAATAATTACACAGTTTAACTCATACTATCTAAAGGTTGATGATAAATAAAAAGTCTTAGATCACTGTAATCTGATTTTTCTTAGTGATATGAAGCAATTTAAGTGACCTGCTACAATCTACCCATTTCTTATGCAAACTTTTAGATTCAACTCTAATTTGATAAATAGGCTGCACTGAAGTATTAAATATTAAAGATAAAGCTATCATTTAGGAAGTAAACAGGTCATTCATTTTTTATGATGTGGTAAACTGTCAAACTTAAAGAGATAATTAGAAGACTATAACAGGGATTGGAACCTACCTCTCAAAATATAATTTAAGCAATTCTGAGCATTAACTGTTAGAATTTTAAGATTATGTTTGATGAAAATTAAAAAATGGAAGTCAGGCTATTTCTGAGTATTATACAAAGTTAAGATTTTTTTAAATTTTAAAATACTTAATTCAAGAATTAAAAAACAAATAATTAGTGGCAAAATTATTTACATACCTCCAACAAAGAGATCAATTCCTCCAGCTTCTTTTATTTTCTTTTCAAATGCATCACATTCTGCTTGTAAATCTGCAGCGTTTCCATCAAGGATATGAGCATTGTTAGGATCTATATCAATATGCTTAAAAAAGTTATTCCACATATAAGAATGGTAGCTTTCAGGATGATTTCTTGGAAGTCCTAAATGAATTTAATAAACAAAAGTAACTATTTCCAGAAGTAAAGCTTTTTCACACTGTATTTAATTTAAAAATATTTTTAATGTGGAATGCCTGCTTGTTATATGCCCAGTATTATAACATACCACAGATATGTAGTAACACAATAAATTTATAATACACCCATGGAAATATTATTATCCTCATTTTATAGATGAGCAAGTAAAATAGAGGGGTTGTAGCTCACAGAGGGGTTGGAATACAAACACAGGCAGACTAGGCCATGTGCACTTACTATACATTTCTTGAACACATGAAGTTTTCAGCAGTGAAGCTAATTTACTAAATTTATTAAATTAATGTTTATTAAATTAACTAAATTTGTTAAATTAACTGTTCAACTGAAATGTTGGCCATGTTACTACTCTATTCCTCCCGTATCTATGCAGAGTATATTGAATCATAATAATTTGTGGGGCTATCACTTATGTTTCTGTTAAAAGTGTATTCCTATATTTATATTTTAACAGAATTTCTATGAATCAGAGATCTTCCCAGTTAAGCAAGATAACACTCAATACATCATAAAAAAAGCTTCACAGTTATATATGGTTTTTAATCTGAAACATATATTTTACTAATTACTTTTACATACATTAATTTATCCTCACATCACTAGTTTTAACTGTGCCTTAAGGGAAAAAAGAGAGAGAAAAAGAGACCATAAAATGTGAATGGATTGGCTCAAAGTTGCATGACTGGTAAGTGGCCAGTCATGTATTCTCCTCTTGTATTCTTGCTACTATACTGTGTTATCCACATAAAAAATACAAATTTTTACGTGAATTCCCAATCTCAACATGAAGCGGTATATTCCTATTATATTCAAAACATAAATTAAATATATATATTTTCTAAAAATATATTCATTTAATTAAAAACATAATATGTAATTCAAGAAGAGCTTACCTACATATTCATCCATGTTAAAAGTCTTCACATATTTAAAAGAAAGGTCTCCACTCTTGTGATATTCTATTAGTTTTTTATAACATCCTAAAGGTGTACTCCCTAAAATAGATAAAGATTCCATTTTCTAACATAACTTGAAAATTCATCTTAAAAAACATTTCTATATGCTTACTTTAATTCTTTTCTTAATTCTGTATTTTTAATTTATTAGGCAATTATTAATCTAAATACATATCCAATTAACAAATATACATTAGCTTCTTTACAAGCTACCTTGTAAAGAGCATATTTGAATTAAAAGAAAACTAAACATCCCAGTTTTTGAAAAATGAAATAAAATAAACTCAAGTTCTAGTATAAATTGATACATAAATAGGATAAGTGTTGACCACTTAACAAAAAAGAGAACTAGTGCCAAATTTAAGTACTGTCCCTACAGTGAATTTTGAAATTGAGAGTGAGGAATATTAGCCCTACAGCTTTTTAACTGGAGTTCCTGTTTTTCATTTCCTGTTATCTTTAGCACATATCAACTAAAATGTGTAAATGAGAATCAGAAGTGTTAAGTATTTAAAACAGAGAGAACTTCTAGGAAATGGAATCTTGGCAGTAAGTGCTTGATTTTAGTTTTTTTTTTTTTAACCATTTATTTTTTAGCTGTAGATAGACATAATAACTTTATTTGATTTTTATGTGGTGCTGAGGATCAAACCCAGTGCCTCACCCATGCTAGGCAAGCACTCTATCACTGAGCCACAACCCCAGCCCCTGATTTTAGTTTTTATAATGTGATTCTTTTATATGTTTTATAAAATTAATTGATATTTGGAAAGAGATTTGTTTGTTGGTGATTCATGATATGACACAATGAAGAAATAGATTTAGCCAATTGCAAATGGTCTCCTTCATTGTTTTCTAAATTTGCTCTATTTTTTTCATGTTAGATTGACAGCACTCTATAACAACTAATCTGACCTTCCCAATTCTGATTGGAGTATTGATTCCTAGTACAACCATCACCAGAAAGAAAATACAAAACCTACATATAAAATATATACCCAAGTAGCATGTAAAAGTTTGTTAGAAATTAACAGTCTCTGAACAACAACAAAAATCAAATAAAAAGAGGAAATTTGGGTGTAAAAAAACTGCAAGGGGCGGGGGGACCTCACCTAGCATGCTTGAGGCACTGGGTTCCATCTTCAGCACCACATAAAAATAAAATAAAGATACTGTGTCCACTTATAACTAAAAAATAAATTTAAAAAACTCAAAAAACAAAAAGCTGCCTCTCATTTGAGATGACAGTTATAGAAATGGCTATAAATAATAAATACCACAAAATTTAAAAAAAAAACAGAAAAGTAATAGATTTTCTGAAAACTAAGCATGTTATTTTCAACTGCAATTAATAATGTAAAAATTACGTGGTTCAACTTTATAATTCTTTTGCAAAGAACTACTGTTCATTGACACGAAATCTCAAAGATGGATAAATATGCTTCTCTTTTTCCTCTCTAGAAGGTTTAACGAATCTTGTTTTTTCACTGTTAAGAGAATTAGAAGAGTTCCTTAAGAATATATGATAAAAAAGTGAGAAACTGTCACAATGATAAGGACAAAAAAACACATTCATTTTCTACTTTTTAATCAATATAGATAAAGAAATGAATGAAAGATATGGTACAGAGGGAACTGGTTAAGGGAATTTTAATATTTTGTTTGCTATTGTTATTTAGTAACATTTAGCAAGTCTTCACTATAATTCAGATCAAATAAAGATTACCAGGATTTTTTTCTGTATGATAAGAACTGGTAATATAGGGATAACTAAGAACAAAATAACCATGATACAAGGAAAATCTTAAATAAACTAAAAGAAGTCTAATCAAAAAGATTATAGTGTTGCTAGTTGGGAAAATGATTTAAAAAAGATGGCATTTTAATTAACTCTTTAAAAAGGTCTGAAATTCTGACAAAGGGAACAGCACAGTTGTGATTGAAAATAGACCAGAGACCGGGGAGGAGGCCCAAAGACATGATCTTTTGTTTTCATACATCACCTCATGTAAATCTCACAACCTTGGGAAACTGACACTATCTTTCTCATTCTGAGGATGAAAGAAATGAGTAAAAAAGAGAAGAATTTGCCAAATATCAAATGGCTGTGAAGTCAGAGATTCAAATCTAGATCTGTCTAATTTCAAAACTCGTGGGTTCCACTGTATACCATGCTAGCAACATGAATGGAAATGAAGCAAAGAAGTCAGTTAAGTTTAGGCCTATTCTTTGAACTACAGGCAGTTCAATTCATTGAGTCAATTCAGTGTTTGGGAATGGTGGGAATAAGGTTGGAAGGCAGGTCAAGTTCTCAGCATGCAGACCTTTAAATGTCAAGCTCATTAATGTCACTTCAGTAAATATATACTGAAGAGCTATTCGCCAGCAATTGTGCTGGGTGGAAGAATAATTATTCTATAGCATGTTAGCTGCAATCACATATATTTATGTTCAAATTTTAAAAGCATCAGGAAGGGGAATGTAATTATCATATCATGTCAATAGTCAATGAAAATGAATAGGGGAAAAAACATCAATAAGAGTTATCCAGAGATACTCCCCTTGTAGGAGCATTAATAAGCAGTTATACTACCAAAATTAAAGCTAAAGTTGTAGATCTATAAAAATAAAAACATGTTTAGCACTGCTAGCATTTAAAATTCTGAAGTTTTTCTGTTTCAGAATTCAAATAAGTATCTACTTCTGCATGATAATTAAGACAATGTGATGGCCACAGTTAGGCTTAAAGTAACCCAGGACAACAGTAGACAAACTGATACTGTGAAGTCACATTCAATGACCACCTCACATTACAGAACTGAGGGTGCTGCTGTAAGTGTACAGTACTGTTGTGCATAATTAAAAAAAAAAATCCCCCTCTGCTGTTCTCACCAAGATCTACTGCCCCAGACCAAAAAGGAAAAAGCAAAACAATAAACAAAATCAACTTGAGAAATATTAGTCATGCAAATCACCAAAGCAGAAAACAACTGTGATTAACTTTTATGTAGTTGGAATGTATAGGAGGAGGAACAGGAGAAAATTGTCTATTTGATTAAAACATTATAAGAGCCTTGAATTTATAGAGTATACAGTATGCAGGGGACTTATGCACATACTAACTTAGTTGAGCCTCCAAACAGCATTTTAAGTTATTATTATTCCTACCCTTCTTACAGATAAGGAAACAAGTGTAGGTATATAAAATAACTGCCTTGAAATAACCAAGAAGTGGTTCTGACTCTAGGTATAACACCCTTTGCAAAGTCAAAGGTTATAAATACCAAATGAAGAGCCATAAGATCAAATGGCACACTTCCTGGTCATTTTTTAAGACAAGACTTAACAGAAAACTGAATTCAATAATTATAATTAATGTTTATGTTTATTCTGTGATAAAGAAATAGCAGTCTTATAATTTTTCAATTATAACATTCTATATTTGAAGGAAAATAAATAATAAAAGGCTAATAAGAGATGATGACAGGTGATGTAAAATTAAGAAGCAACAATACATACTTAGGTACCTCCTGTGATTAATAAGAAAGGTAAGGTATTAAGAAATTGTATTAATAGTGAAAATAATGCTCCTAAAAACAAATAACTTTTATCAAAATGAACACAAAAATGATCAAAATTTGTTAGGAAATTCCCTACTGCATTTCCGAATAGTAGGTAAAACAGAACTTTTTAAAAATAGTAATAAAATGTAGATATTAGATTATATATAATATATATACTAGATACTAGATTAGACTAGATACTAGACTATACTAGATACTAGATTACATATATATATATATATACATATGCATATATATGTGTGTGTGTGTGTGTAAAAATACTAGATTATATATAAACTTCTGACATAAAAAAATTTATATATATAAAATAAAATACTAGATTATATATAAACTTCTGACATAAAGCCATTAGGTTCAATCAGTTTTGTTTTCATACATTACCTCATGTAAATGGTTATGGCAAGAAATGAATAGAAAAAATATTTTACTAAGAGAAACTTTACAATTTCACAATCTTAGATAACCTGAGTATCTAAAATTTAAAAAGTGGTTTATTACCTGTTGGTAAGCCCAGTGTAAAGTATCTGTCCTGTCCAGGTTTGAACTGAATGATGCGATTACAGATGTATTTGGCTGCCCATTCACTAGCCAAGTCATAATTATCAAGAATCACAAGCCTCATTATAGTGATACACAGCTTCCAACACAAGAAGTTCCAACCTGAGAAAAATCCATTGTAGAGCACTTTAAGTATTTTACAGACACTCAAATAGAAGTGTAATATATTGATGATTTTTAAAAGGGAATTATTAAGAAGAACATGCACATAATAAAATATAATCTATACTTTAAAAACAGTAATTAATAATTCTAGGTTTTAAACAGTGGGTCAGGTCATTTAAATAAACATATTAATGCTTATAATAATCTTGGAAAGAATAAATAAAATTCCCAGTTTTAGATAAGAAAATGGACTCACACGATTTGAACTCACACAGGTTGTAACAAAGCCAGAATTCAAATTAAGGCATTCTTAATATAAAAAGCACCACACTACACTGTATATAGGTATAACACATACTCCTACTAAAGCAATATAAAACAATCCTAAAGAGAAACAAAGCAATAGTCATTTGTTGATTACAAGTTAATAGTAACAATCATTACTAAGCAAATTTTAGGTTACTTGCTAAAACTCAGGGCATAACAGAATAACCAAATCTCTTTTCTGTTAAACAATGTTTAAATCTCACTACTAGAAATAATTCTCATCGCTAGGTATATATCATTGCAGATACCAATGCAAATAAATAATTTTTAAGAATGAGATAATATTAGACATGCTACTTTTAATAAAAAGCAAATAAACAGAAGAAAACAAAGTAAACTAAAGAAACTGCTGAACTGGGGGGGGCGGATGCTTCACAAAAACCAATTTTAGGTCTAAAAGATTAAAGTAAAGAAAAATTATTATATGGATACTGAAATGAGTAATGGATTGATCTATCATGAAAATGTGGATTTTAGCATTTTTAACACTAATTCACATCTCCTGATTTATGCAGAAATGTGATTTTTATATAGTAAAGATGTATAACATATACACAATATTCTATATTAATTCTTAGATTTTAATTCTTAGTTTTATATTTAAATGGGTCATTCATTAACACCAATCCTTTTGACATGGCTTCAGCATTACTGAGTTCTGCACCCACACACTTTTCAGAGTATTAAGTCAAATGTTTTAAATTAATAAGTCAAAAAAGATCTTATTTCAATGAATATAGGGAATCTAAGTGATGTACTTAAGAATATAGTTTAGAATTCTGACAAAACAATAAAAATTATGACCACCATAATCTAGAATTCTAGCATAACAAGATGTAAATAGCATTTATACTGTCAAATTCAGCCAAACAAATGGACTCATCTTCCTTTTATCAATAACCTAATATCAAAAATAATTTTATAAACACACCAAAAAAGGAAAAATAATTGCTGGCTGATATGATCATCAAAGATACATATTTACTTCTAAGAAGAATAGTCTGCAAGCTTTTAATAAAAAGAAAAAAAAAGCTGTAAGGAGCAGGAAGGACATTAGATCTTTTCAAGTTTCTTCTATGTCCTGGGCATACTGTTTTCTTAGCTTATCCAACTTATGAAAATCTACTATATGCTAAACACTATGCTTGGTTCAATAGACACAAAGGCCATAGAAACAATAATTCCTGAGGTTGAAATTATCATCCTTTCTTTTCAAATGAAGAAAACTGCAACTCTAAGAGATTTATTGCTAAAGTTCTTAAAGCTATTAAATAGTTTTAGACAGAGGTGGAGGTGTATCTGATTCAAAGACTGGTTCTCCAAATATGCCATATTGGTTGAGAATCACTTAAGATGTTTGTTAAAAATACAGATACTTAGGCCCCTCTTCCTAGGCAGTGTTTCAACATATGTGAAATGGGAGTCTAAGAAAGCTGCAGATATATCATAGGTGATTCTTAGAATTGGGTTAAATTTGAAAAAAAAAAAAAAACACAATATATTTAATTGCAAAAAGATTCAAGCAAGTCTCTCAAAGCAAGGTATAGGCAAGTGTTTGTTCCCCCCCACACTCCCCGCCCCGTTTTGGGGGAGCACTGGGGACTGAACCCATGGGCATCTTAACACTAAACCGCATCGCCAGTCCTTTTTTTAAATTTGAGATGGGTCTACATTGCTCACGCTGGTCTTGAATTTGCAATCCTTCTGCTTCAGCTTCCCAAGTCACTGGGATTATAGGTGTGGACCACCACACCTGGCTTGTTTGTTTATTTGTAACTCTCTACAGGGCATAGACTTCACCTCCAAAAGTCCTAAACAAATCACCTCAGCCAGAGGAAAGAAAGCCTTCAAAATTTTAAGATGTGCCCTTTTCGGGTTTTGCCAGTCTTCAGAGATCCAAACTGCTGGGGCTTCATGGAATTCTCCAGCATTGTGACCAGAAGGCATTTAAAAAAACAATACAGCACCAGCCCTTTCAGCAGGTGCTGATTCATTTCTGATGTGCATCACTTAGGGAACTGGCAGCTGAACACAAACCTGTGAACTTGAGAGCTGGATGGGAACTTCTATAACACTTAAGTTACACTGCTAGTTAGTGGAATGGCTAGGACAAGAATCTAGACATCTCTGTTCTAAGCTTCTCCCTACTGCACCCTGTACCTGATCTGAAAAGGTTTCTGAAGCTTGGACCAGAAAAGCAGCACGGGCGGCCTGGCCATACCGGCAGGCGCAGGATCCTTAAGAGCTGGGAGAACTTCTCCAGGACCGTAAGGTCTGCAGCCCACCTCAAATGCGTGACTGGCTGGGCCCAGTCATTCCGCAAACTACAGCGAATGCAAATGAGGATGGCTGTTACGAATTTCTAAAAATGTCGGGAGAAGAGTCCTGAGAAAGGCGCGCGAGAGAAGGGGACAAGGAATCGGTGTCCCAATTCCGGAGAGGACGACCAGCCAGGTTCCAAAGGGTCTAGGCCGGGGAACCACAGGTCCCCCGCCTCGAGCCTCCAGGGACCCCAACCCGGCCCTGGTCTATCAAGGCACAAAGCTCCACAGGCTAACCGCTAGCCAGGTCCCCGCCCAAGTTCCCTCCTAGGACCGATCCCCCAACTCACCAGCGGACTCTCTGGCTTTTCCGAGGCTGGAACAGCGGGAAACAGCAGCACTCAGCAACCCGCGAGCGACCCCAGCCGGCACTGGGAGGGCGAAGCCCGAGGACCCGGATGCAGATGAGACCCAGCTAAGGGAGCGGAGTGCTGCGCATGCGCACTGCCTCCGAGCTTCTGGTTGGAACAGCAAGTTTAGTGCGGACTAACCACTTCCTACCTGGCGGTCTTGGGTTCCTGGGGTATTCTGTAGACACTGGTTTCATTTTTTTTCCCTCTTTCTTCTTTTGTTTCTCTTGCCTCTCAGAGACTGAACTGCATTAGATTCCTTAAATTTATAATATTTATGATATTTCCCATGCAGGACAATAATGCTCATAGATTAATTTTTAAAATAATGGGCAGTATGAGTTCATCTCGTCACCCCAAGCCATTGCAAACATACTGACACTGTCTTTTGTATTGTAAAAGCTCATCAAAGTTAAGTTTCAAGAAAGGCAAACTATAAACCATGGGAAACCCAGGAGTGTCTTAAAAAATAGGAAACAGGATATTAGAGTGATGTATATGGCTTGTGCTGAATGATTCTGAACAAAGCATAAGGGAAACAGAAATCAACTTTGAGTAGATATCACTAATCTTTGTACAGGAGAAGAAAGTTATTGTTAAGCAAGTAACAATTACTCAAAAGGACAAAAATCTCTTGTCCTCACCATGTCTCACTAAAAACCATTTAGGGTTCTGTCAAAAACAATACACTGACTACTGTCTGTGAATGACAGACTCAAGATCCTATAAAAACTACAAAATTAAGGTAAATGTGAAATGTTATGTTCTCTAACATATGATCTTAAGTTGTAAGTCCAGGCTGTTTCTTTGGGTCATATACCAACCTTTGCTTATGTCCTCAAGCAGAGTGGGATGTTCCATTCCTACCAATATGACTTCAAATACCCGAGTTTCTCATTATTGTTACAGGACAAGGTTTCTTATCACTATAGCTTTGAGCTCATTTACCATAGCAATTTTTAACATCTTCCCAGTGCTATCATTTGTCATCTAACAAATATTTATTTGCATCTATTTTGGTCAGAAAGACCTGCAAGTAATAAAAGAACTTTGGCACAGCATGATAGCATTCATGTAATACCAGCTCCTCCAGAGATGAGATAGGAGGATCACAAGTTACAGCCCAGCCTGAGCAACTTAGTAAGACCTTGTCTCAAATAGAAAAGTATTTAAAAGGGCTAGGTATTTAGTTCAGTGTAGAGCTCTTGCATAAAACGAGCAGGCCCTATTTGGGTTCAATATCCAGAAACACAAGAAAAAAAAGTGGGAAATATTATTGATGCATAGAAGGACATTTCTGAAATCTTTTCTTTCTTCCTTGTTTTACTTCTTTAATTTAGAAAAAGAAATGTGCCTATGCTGTAAGTACTGACTGGTTAATTTCTTCTTGATCACACTGTATCATGTCCCATAGACTCTTTTCTTAGGCTTGTGTTTCTCATCTCTTGCACCCCATCTGCCATGCTGTTTGTTCCAAGAAGTCACTGCAGTCAAAAGCAAAATCTTTAATAGTAGGCAATAAATTTGTTTTAGACAACGGCAGGGACATGTAAGCTGAGTCATCATTTGTCTATTCAATACTTAGGTAAATATTAGTAAATATTTGCTTAGTAAATATTGAGTGAATATTATGCCAGATGCCAGCAGGGGTAAAACAGAAGTATAGGCCCTGCCATTTGTGAACTAAAAGAATGATGGGAATGCAGATACAAATCATTACCGCTTCATCACTCATTAAATCCAAATAATGCTAAGTAGTCTCAGTCATGAGTCTTTATTTAAGACAGGTCTTTATGTTTGGAGATAACATCCATAAAAAAAGACCCATATCTTGTATTTCAGATAACATCCCAAGAAAGTTTAACAGAAATATTCCCTGAACCAAGGTTTAGTTTCAAGAGTTTGCTAGAAAAGCTTTAACAGGCTGTAATTTAGGAGAGTGGCGGAATTAGAACAGCATAGGAATCGTAGAATATAGACAGCTATATAGGTGACATGAGAGAAATATCAGAGAGCAGTAATACCTTATATCCTTGGTAGATGAGATAGGACCAGCAGTTATCTGACAAAGAACTTGAAGTTATCTGACAAAGAACTTGAAGTTATCAGAGGAGGAGCCTGAAGTGATGTTTCAGTCTGTATGCCTTATGCTAATGAAGGCCAGTAGACAAAAGATGGTCATCAGATACCAGTGGGAATAAATGCTGATGACCGAGGACACACAAGTGAGATACACTGTGGTAGATGTCAGAGGAGAAAGAACTCCAGAAAAGATGCCTCCGATCATGTAGACTTGCAGGAGCCTTCTTACCTTAAGTGAAGGGAGATGCTCAGAATTGACAGAATGTGCAACTGAAGTGACTAAAGAAACAGAAAAACAAATTAGCCCAAAAAAATTGTTGTTTTCTGCATTAATAAATAAATTAATCAATAAATAAAAATGGGGCTCAGGGAACAGGGCTGAGGTGGTTTTGGTATGCATTTCCCTGAAGACTGATGATATTGAATATATTTTTCTGTGATTATTGCTGTTTCTGCATCTTCTTTGGAGAATATATGCAAATCCTTTGTCAATTTTTAATCTTTTTTATTGTTGGGTTTATGTATCTTTGGTAATAGACCTTTATCAGATATATAGTTTATACACATTATCTCCCAACCTGTGGTTTGTCTTTCCACTTTCTTTAATTTGGTGAAGTACAATTTATCTACTTTTTATTTTTTGTTGTGATGTCTAAGAAATTACTGTCCAATACGAGGACAAGAAGATTTACACCTATGTTCCATTTTAAAATTTTTAGAACTTTTTCTCTTTAAATTTAGGACTTTGAGTTGTTTAAAGTATAGTAAGGGGTCCAGCTAGCTCTTGTTTTTACATGTGGATGTCGGTTGTCATGGCACCATGCATTAAAAAGATGATTTGTTCCTCATTAAATGGTATTGGCACTCTTCTTGAAAATCGGTTGACCATAAACACATAAACTCTCAATTCTATCCCATTGAGTTGTATGTCTTTCTTTATGTCAGTACTACACCATCTTGATTATGTTAGCTTTGTAGTAAGGCTTACGATCTGGAAATAGGAATTTTCAATGTCTTTTCTTCTTTCCAAAGATTATTTGCCTATTTTGAATTCACTTGTATTTTCATATGAGTTTTAGGATCAATGTTCATAATTTCTGAAAAAAAATAAAGTCATTGGAATTCTGTAGTAATTGCACTGAGTATACATATCAATTTACAAAGTATTGGTGTCTTAACTCTACTAAGTTTACCAAACCAAGAATACCAGATGGCTTTTATCTTACTTCTCTTTAATGTTTTAGCAGTGTTTTGCAGTTTTTAGTTTAAAAGTCATGTACATTTGCTGTTGCAAATGGAATTGTTGCATTAACTTCACATTTGCATTTTTTTAAAAAAATTTATTCTAGTTTGTTATGATAGCAGAATGCATTATAATTCCTATTACACATATAAAGCACAATTTTTCATATCTCTGATCGTATACAAAGTATAGTCACACCATTCATGTCTTCATACATGTATTTAGGGTAATGTTGTTCATCTTATTCCACTGTCTTGTCTACCCTGATAGCCCCTCCCTTTTACTCCCACCCCTTTTCCCTATCTAGAGTTTTTCTAATCCTCCCATGCTCCCCCTCCTAACCCCACTATGAATCAGCCTCCTTATATCAGAGAAAATATTGGGCAGTTGGTTTGGGGGATTGGCTAACTTCACTTAGCATTACATTCTCCAACTCCAAACATCCATTTACCTGCAAATGCCATGATTTATTCTCTTTCATTGCTGAGTAATATTCCATTGTGTATATATACCACATTTTCTTTATCCATTCATCTACTGAAGGGCATCTAGGTTGGTTCCCAGTTTAGCTATTGTGAATTGTGCTGCAATAAACACTGGTGTGGTGTGTCCCTCTATTTTGCTGTGTTTAAGTCCTTTGGGTATAGACAGAGGAGTGGGATAGCTGGGTCAAATGGTGGTTCCATTCCCAGTTATTCAAGGAATCTCCATACTGATTTCTTATACTGGCTGCACCATTTTGCAGTCCCACTCAACAAAGCATGAGTGTGCCTTTTCCCCCCACATCCTTGCCAACAACTATCATCGTTTGTACTCTTAATAGCTGCCATTCTGACTGGAGTGAGATGAAATGTTAGAGTAGTTTTGATTTACATTTCTCTAATTGCTAGAGATGTTGAACATTATTTCATATATTTGCGGATTGATGCTATATCACCTTCTGGTAAGTATTTGTTCAGTTTCTTGGCCCATTTATTGATTGGGTTATTTGTTTTTTTGGTGTTTAGCTTCTTGTACTTTTTTATATACCCTAGAGATTAGTGCTCTATCTGATGTGCAAGTGATAAAAATTTGCTCCCAAGCTGTATGTCCTCTATTCACCTCACTTATTGTTTCTTTTGCTGAGAAGTTTTTTTAGTTTGAATCCATCCAATTTATTAATTCTTGATTTTAATTCTTGAACTACAGGAGTCTTATTAAGGAAATAGGGGCCTAATCAAATATGATGAAATTTGGGCCTACTTTTTTTTTTCTATTAGATGCAGGGTCTCTGGTTTAATTCCTAGGTCCTTGATCTATTTTGAGTTTTGTGCATGGTGAGAGATAGGGGTTTAATTTCATTTTGTTGCATATGGATTTCCAGTTTTCCCAGCACCATTTATTGAAGAGGCTATCTTTTCTCCAATGCATGTTTTTTGGCACCTTTGTCTAATATAAGATAACTATAATTATATGGGTTAGTCTCTGTATTCTCTATTCTGTACCATTGGACTACCAGTCTATTTTGGTACCAATATCGTGCTGTTTTGGGTTCTATTGCTCTGTAGTATAGTTTGAGGTCTGGTATAGCGATGCCACCTGCTTCTCTCTTTCTGCTAAGGATTGCTTTAGCTCTTCTGGGTCTCTTGCTTATTTCTGTGAGGAATGTCATTGGGATTTTTATTGGAATTACATTAAATATGCATAACAGATAAATCTGTATAACAGTGTTTAGTAGTACGGTCACTTTGACAATATTAATTCTGCCTAT